TACTTTAGTTCTGATGCAAAAACGCATGATCGCACCGGCTCGCCTGGTGCGTTCCAGCCTTTGTTGGCTTATAATGTGCTAATTTGGTTCTGTGGTCGAAATCAGTGCACAGGTTTGGAAAAAGTCATTTGTAGCCAGAAATACTTTCATGAATTTCAGCTCTGCTATATCGAAAAATTGGAATATGCACGCACATATATGATTTTATACCCTACCGGTGATTACAACAACACAAAAATTTCTGGCGAAATTACCGGATAATTAAATAACAGTGACATATCCAACGACCAAAATCAGGGAGTAGCCGTCTATGAAATCCGATTGAAAAAATATAGCTTTTCACTTTTGCCGTTCTTTTTTTAGTCTTCATATAAAAAAAAGAAAAAAAAAACAAAACGTCCCTATTTAAGACCGCTGAATCCAGTTTCTCAATTTTGGCGCAACAGATGCAACCCTGCTTAGTTCTGAAAGGTCGTGTCGTGTAAAAAAGTTTTGGCCAATTTGCTGCAGAAATTAGGATATTCGTACTGAGTTTCCGCGCAGAAGATGTCGGTACAAAGTGGGTTAGAAGAACTGAAGAAGCTGTGTCGAATTAGCACATCATCTCGAGGCTTTCGAACTCGTTGATTACCATTACATGCACTTCTGAAATCACCCAAAACAGAACAGTGATTGTCTTCCAAAAAATCCAGAAAAGGGTTAACTGGTCAGAATGAAGCGAAAATAACTTAGCCGAAGCATTCAGTAAGTCAGATCTTGACCGTCCTAATGCCCTTATCATTACTTTCAAGCACCTTAGGCTACAACAACGGCGCTATACGTAATTTGTCGAGCTCATATCTTTTGTGTATGTGAATGAGTGTACTTTGCGTATGCCTGTGTGTTGTGCATGCGGTTGGAGTGTGTTCAGATTTCGGGCCGGGTTTTCCAGCTCAGTTTCTAGACAATTTCAAAAGTTGAAACTTTAGAACTACGGCTTCTGCTCATATGCGACCGTGGAAAAAAATTCATTTTCAATGCACTCTTACGTCTCATAAGCGTTGGGCATGGAAGTTTAAGCGAAAAATCGTTGGCATATTTTTGGTGTGTAAAATAAGCATGGCGGAAAACTGATTTTCAAGGAGATATCACTTCATGTCTGATGCTGGATATTTAGGATCAGTTTTTGTCTATGTTCAGGTGTACTGCGTAAGAACGCGTCAGAATTCAAATTAGAAATTACAGCAACATTTCAAACATAAGAAAAGAACTGCGCAAAACGTACGACTGCACCGACTCTTGGCGCATACCACTGCTGTTTATTAATTCAGGGCTAACGATTTGAAAACGTAACGCTGCTGATGAATGTGCATACTTTGCTGCTGTGACGGAAGTCCTTAGAAAAGCCGGAAGTTGTTGGAAAAGTGTGTTGCACAAAGTGCAGCAGCCAGGTGATATACAGCACGCATGGAGGTGCCATACAAAGCATAGGCTACGAGGTG